TGTTTTGGGGCCGAGCAAACATTGGGGGGTTGGGGTTTGACTGTCTTCTAGGAAAGGGAAAAGAAACCATTTTTTAAATCAGCAGTTTCTAGAATGTGCAGTTTAAGGGAAGACGAGAACAATGAGCAAGGAAAGGCGAAAGCTGGGGTGGGCGGGTGCAGGGGGAGCCCGGTGCCTGCCCTCCCCGGGGCCAGGGAACGCGGTGCCTGGAGCTGGCAGGGAGCGTAGGCCAGCTCTGGCTGGCTTCTCCGGGTGACAGGGAGTGAGGTGGCCGCCTTGGTGTCCTCCCGGCCTTGTGCTCGCCTACTCGTAAGGCGGAGGCTGGCCTCACCGGGGAGGGTTTCGGAGGCCGGGACGCTGGACGCTGGCTAAAGGACAGATGGTGCCACTAGGCCCATCAGCGCACAAGAGTGGAGAAGTATGAGCCATGGGTTTGTACGGATTTATTTACATCTAGACACACGGCAAGTTCCATGTTGCTTTTCCTGCTCGAAAGAGCTCCTGTCTTTCCCTTGTCTCTGTTCTTTAACCACAATTACCCGTTCAAAGTTTGCCTTCGGTTACAGAAATGCCCACAACCGCTCCTGCAGAAACTGTACATCCAGAGCAAAGAAAGGCGGGGAGGGGGCATTAAACCAGGGTACCCTCTTCAGAAAACGGTTGGGTTGGAGTTATAACACGTGGGTGCCGAGACCACGCTTTTGCTTTGCGGAACGGGAGAGTGAATGTCCTTGTCATTTCCACGTCTGTGCCGTTAGCGTTAGCTGTCAGTCTGCTGCCCGCCCCAGCGGGAGCACACCTTCAGCGTGAAGCCAAGGATTTACTGGTTGTCCAGTTAATATTTTGACAATTTAATAGCCCAAACTATTGCCCTGTTACAATGATAAAACCTGATAATCCAAATGAATAAGGCAAAGCCTCAAGGATACAGCAAAAACGCGGGCCTTCCTGATGCCTTCCCCCTTCGGCAGGGGGAGAGCTCCCACTCCGTGTCCCTCTGAGCCCTGGAGCCTGGCGAGCCCAGCGTGGGCAGCCTGAGGTCTGCGTGGGCGGGCGAGGGCAGCGACCTCTTCCCCCACTTTGCCGGGAGGTGTGTGACGTTGGTGTCGACGCTTCCCCGCTCCCCAGCCGGGCGGCTGGTTCATTCTGTGTACCCGCTCACATCGTCCCCTCTGCTGCTGCTGCTTGTCTCTCCCTGGCTGTTCAGTTTTCCTGCTCTCTCCATTGCCCCGAAGCCGTTTGCCAACCTGGTGCAGTTCGGTGGCCCGGGGCTGCCCTCGGCCACGGCAGGTTCCACTGGGGAGCGGAAAG